TAAGTATTGCACATATATTGAAATTTGGTTATATGGTTTTATTTAAATAAAAAATTATGCTTTTATCTAAAAATAATTAAAATTAAATAATAATAAAGTAAGAGTGGCGTATAATTATGATAAGCACTATATTTATACAGTCACTCAAAGAAGTATTTGACATGTATTTTTACCATTATTTAAAATGTTTTTCATGATAAATCTTTTCATACATTTTTTGTAAAAATATACCTCATTCTACAACAAAAACTATGCAAATCAAAATTTCAAACTTTTAATCAGAATTCTTACAAAAAATCAAGTATGCAGTTTTATACCGCGTTCAGTTTGCTAGTTTGAAATTCGTTATATGGAAGAAAATGCTCCACTCTGTCACAAAAAAAGTATAAAAAAAATCTACGGGATTTAAATTTTGAGTAAAAAATTTGAAATTTTGATAAACAGTTGCTTTGTTGTTTGTTGTAGAATGTGCTATATTTTAAAAATTAAAAAAAAAAATATTTTAAGCATTTTGATTTTTCGTCGAAAAAAAATCAATGCAAAATACTTCTGTGAGTGACTGTATTTGCAATATGTGTGCATGCATACAAACTTTTTGAGAAAGGCAAAATGAACCAGTTAAATGAAAGTGGATATATACTTCAACTGCGGTATAGTGGGTTAACTCAATGAAGACGAATTAGCGCTGGCAGGCATATGGACGAAAATAGCAGCGTCTATTAAGCCGACGATTTTTCAATCCAGTGGAATGGATTATAGAGAAGAGGTCCTTTGAATAACTGATTGCTAAGACAGAGAGTAAAGGCCCGTTTACACGGTACTGTTTTGTACTCGAAAATATGAAATTTAAGACTTCCGCCAAAATATTTCATAAACATATTATGATGTGCTTGTGTGGGAGCTATTTAAAAACTCGTCCAAAAACCGAGCTTTTATAAATAAAGAAGTTTTTAAAAATATCTTTTTCTAAAAAAATCCCGTCAGAATATAGAATAGTTGAAGCTTAAAATATTGGCATAAAATTGTTTAAAAGTTTTATCAACGGCATCAAAATAATGAGGTTTGTGGAGATGCACCCTAATGTATATATGTATGTATAGTACATTATATTGGGTTGCTATGGTAGAATAGATTGTGTGCCGTTATTTTACCAAACCAGTGATGCAAATTCCGCGCACTTGAACTTCATTATTTGTAGGCTTGCCCGGTTTTGGTATGTACTACCTATTTTTAGTTTCCACATATTAGGAGTGATGAGAATGGTATTCGAAAAATCAAGAATCTTGGTGAGGTAGTCTACTCTCGCCGCACACATTTTATTTTTTTTAAACAAAGTTAATATTTAATCGGCTCCATGGCCAAGGCACCCTTTTGCTTCCCTAATCCCACCCTAATTTCGGCACTGGCTTACTTAGCGATCTCTGGCTGATCAATCGCAGAATGTCCACATTGAAATCCTTATGGTGGGGATGCGCACAAAAAAAAATCCTTTTGCCAATGACTTGTTTGTTTGAAATGCCACAAGTAAAGAATCATTGTACTTTTTCAATAAATGGTATTTAAGTAAAAACACGCTCTACCACCCAATACTCAGGCAATTCTGATCATATCTTGATGCTATATTGGTTACTACGCTCGCGTGCTAGTAATGGATTTTACAAAAAAAAAAAAAATTTGTTCGGTTTAAAAGTCTTTCGATTAGGAGCATTTAAGGAAATATACAAAAATACATACATACATATTTGCATGCGTAAATCACTTGATTATTTCGAGCGAGTTTTTTTAAGCATTTTTCTTTGTATGTTCTGCTATTTGCAAAGGTGACAAACATTTTTTATAAGCGCCGCATCCCAACATCGCCACTTAAGTATTTTAACTAAAAAACCTACAATAAAAAACTCCTAAAAAATCAATCCAATATTGGACAGAACTATTTATATATGTATACATATGTATGTACATTAGAGTGGTCCAAAAAAATTTTTTCCGAGATAGGGTTTGGGGCACCTTCCGATATTTGCCGAAAGAGGAAAGTATAAATTTAGAGGATACACATATTTTACTGTAGAAGTATTGTGTACATATATTAGTTAAACAATTGGTTAAGTAACTTAAGAACATAGCAAATTTAAATTATCTAAAAAAAAATATCACAAGCCTCAGTTGTCATGGCAACAGTACCTTTTTATAAAAATCACAAATATATTTGCCAGTTTCACAGCGATCCAGTAGCGCATTTCAAGGCCATCGGGCATCCTGTATTGGTTGCAGTAGAAAACTAAAATTTGGTATACATATTACATATATTAAAAGGAAAAAACTTAGGGGTTTACCAGTTTCTAGGATAAAATTTTTTTTTCTCCATACAAAAGTTGGACCACTTTAATGTACATATGTAGATATAACTGGTTTGCAAATACATAATTGAAAGTGATTTAGTAGTCACAGCCTAATTAGATGAATTAAGACTATTTTTCGAGATTTATGTGTTTGAGAACGAAAACAAAACAACAAATAGAAAAGAAAAAAAACAAAAAAAGGAAACAAAAACTTGCGTAGATAGCTTCAGGCGAGGAAAGAAACACAAAAAAAAAATCATTTGTTTATCTTTGTTAAATTTTTGGCAAAATAGAGCGTTTCACCAAACCTATTATGCATACCAAATTGACAGGAGAATGTGCTTCTCTATATTCTATTTATGTACGCCTTTAATACCATTTAAAGTGGTTTTTCAGTCCCAATCTTAAATATATTAGTATTTTTATTTTTATTGTGATCGCCAATGAGGACTTTTTCGATATTTTTTATCAGTTATCGATATTTTTATCGTTTATATCGATAGCAGTGTAAATATCTGTATTATTATCGTCATTAAGCCATTTGTCACACTTGATTACACTTACGTACATACATACACACTTCACGAGCCAATCACCCGACCAACAAATTTAATTAAAATCGAATTGACTTAAATGTGTGGCAATTAATCAGAAAATTAGAAACAAATTTTAATACATAAATCACTGAAAAAAACGAATAAGAAAGAGGGCAAAGCAAGTTTTTCACAATAAAAAATGACCATAGAACAATGAGGCAAAAACAAAAAATGCGCCATTATTCTGAACAATTTTAAATGAAAAAGATTTAAAGTAATTGTGCAATAAAATTATATAACACATGCATGTGACATACATATGTACAATTAAAATATCTTGGACGGTCACCGCGAATTATTGTTGATTTTATTACAAGCGTGCGAGCAATTCGGCGTCGGTGCCATGGCTTTTATTGACTTCAGTGAATATTTTCGTATGATTTTTTGTTTGTTTTTAATCAAAAAAAAACAACAAAAAATTTGCAACAAGTGCATGGTAACTGGTCAAACTTTATTTGGTAAAACCAAATTCTAAGCAAATCAAACAAAAAGCCAAGAGCGGAAAGGCAATCAGCATTGCGTTAATAACTAAGTACAATTCAAATAAAGAATTTCCAATTGTAGTAAATACGAAAATTATCGTGATTGCTAGAACAAAAACAATTTATGAGTGGGTGTGGCCATAGGTGGCGCATACACGCTTCGATAGCGAGCTAATAAAATGTACAGTGACAACAGTGTGGCAAAGCGGCTGGAGTGGTAACCATGGAAAAGTAGAGTGAAAATATTTATGCATTTAGCCAACATTTAGATACCGGCATGTTGTGTATTTAAATTGAAAACGTTAATTTTTCTGTCTGTGCTCGACAGCGTGTCGAACATTATTGCCGTATGCTAATTTACTTCTCTACAAAATTATTTTACACGCCACTTTTTATATACGCGGCGAGCATATGTATTTTGATTAAAAATCAATTAAACTTTATAAATTAGATTTTGCCAGCATAATTTGTCGCCGGCGAAACCAACTGGTTATGAAACAAATGTACACAAGTGTATGCATTTGTTTGTATGTACATAAATCATAAATTAAGCACGTTTTTTTTTAAGTTTTGTTCTGCTTTATTTGCATGTGCACAAACGTACATACGTCGTCATACATTTATTTATTCAAAAATTTTTTACATACATAAATCTCTTTATTATACATAAATTTATGCGTTTTCCTTATTCTTTGCTTTAGTTATACATAGTATTGTTTGCTTGTTGCATATATACATATGCATGTATGTATGTAGTATACGTCTCTGCTGTACTACGGAACACGTTCGATATACTCTTGAATGAGACACGCTTGTTTAATTATGTATGTATGCATTTTTTTTTCTTTAATCATGACGAATTCATGCTAAATTATTGACTATTAAAATAAAACGCTCTGTCGGACGCCTCCTTCAGTGTGCTTTTGCCGCCGACCGCCTTCTCTCATTTTCACTTTAGTGAAATGGCACTGGCACAGATTTTTGTTTTGCAATCAGAAAAAGCGTTCACTTAAAACTATTGTTAGCATTTATAAGAAGCTATTTACAGCGTTATTATGTGTGCATTTGTGGTTTGTATAAAAAAAAAATAGCATAACTAATACAAAATAATTGCAAATCAGAAAAAGTCATATAAATAAAAATGCTGTCTTTCGCTCAGTTGTCGTCCGCGCATATTTTGAAAGAGAAATTGCTTGAGCATAAAGACACTTCGTTCTTATACTTTCATTTTACGCATTATCAATATAACATTTATTTCTAGAACTATGAAATTATTTCAAAATCTTCATCTGAGTCGCCCTCCAAGTTGGCGTCACAGCCATTACTCGTCAAACCAGTTGCATGGATGTGATTCACATTCTCGAAGTCTGGAAAAAAAATAAAGTCAATATGCAATATTTCTTTGCAAAGTTAAAAGCTACTCAAAAATTCGTTAGTAAAAATTAAAATTAGTATTAATTAAGAAGAGTAGTCAATAGTATAGACCTTCGGAATCACAAGAACTTATAGTTCGATTGCAACGATTCTTATAATTTTCAATAATAGCCGCCGCCTCTGCTGCTCCCGTAGCACGTGCAGACGTCCCTATAGTTTTAACTATGGTTGTGCGAGGTGTATTGCTATTGGTAGCATCACTGGAGGCGGCGCTAGAAGCTGTTGTTGACGTTGAGCACGCGTTGAAGTTAACCAACCCCGCTGTATTTAGTGTAGTAAAATTTGACTCAATACCTGCCGACGTGGAGACCCATTCCGTTGAGCGAGACTTTGTGATTTCGAGCAGCGGCTGTGTGCAGGCGGCCAACACCTGTGTGCGTAGGTTATCGAGTAAAACTTCAAAACTCAGGCGTGATTTACACAGGAAGCACTAAGGAGATATAGAACAATTCATTTCGGGTTTTAAGATGCCAAAATATAAAAAAAAATAATAATTAAAAAATAATAATTAAAAAATAATAATTTAAAAAAATTAATCAAAAAATAATTAAAAAAAAATTAATTAAAAAATAATTTTAAAAAAAATATTTATTTAAAAATAATTTAAAAAAAATTTATTAAATCAAGTTAAATAGAACAACTCAAGACAAAGTAAACTAATTAATGTATGTAATTTATATATTTTTTCGAATCAATTAAATGAATGGAAATTAATAAAAATATGACAACTTTTTTTCTGCCTTACCATCGCCATTGAAGGATCCATTTGCTGAAAACTTATGCGCCCAGCATATCTCTGATGAAATGTCGCATCGAAATCCACCTCATCCTGTGACGTTTTTTGACCCACTGATCCCGAACGTTGTGTCGTATGTGGATCCAAATATAAAACTTCATCGTCTACATAGCCAACAAAGTATAGCGCTTGATTGGGACGACCACCAATCATGCCACAACTGCCAACTAGCTCAAAACAACTTTTTAGCGCAGGTATATAAATGGGATTTATTTCGCTGAGCCCCAAGCGTAGTGGAATAATGAGTAGTAGAGGCTTCCAGGATTCATCATTGTTTGGTTTCTCAAGGCAAAGCGAATCTATAAGCAGAAACATAATTTATTACAGCTAATATAAATTCAGTGATTACAAATACAACACACATATGTCATCAGTCACTATTGTGTTATCCATTGCCACATGTACAACTATAGAGCACCAGTCGTCGTAGCGTACTAATTTTCTGCAAAAAGCAAAATATTAATCTTACTGGAAGCACTGCAATATGTGCCATTAATCATTACTCACTTCAAAACCTGCGCTACTGTGTTTGGGCCAAACCACTGACCTACTTTTTTATCCTCCGAGTCGCCCATAAGAGCGATTTGATGTATTGAGAAATAACTTTTTCGTGAGTCTTCGAAACGATTAACAATTTTTAAATACGTTGAATCTCGTACCTCCGGTGTCCAAAACCAGTCGCGTCCAAGATGTAGATCGATTAAAGCTTGTGCTAATACCATTTGCCCACAGCGTAACATACAACCCCAACCTTTATCGGTGGTCAATTGTGGCGCGCCAAGCGGCACGAATCCACGGCGATAGGTACACCACATGCGCGACTGAATATCGCGGCGTATTAAATCGATCTCTGGAAAGTTGGAAAAGTGTTTACCAAAATTTATTGAATACAATTTTTTGGGTGCGATTACCTTGTATTGCATTATAGCGTTTGCCCAGCACCCATACGGTGGTGTTAACTTTGGGTATATCGTCTGGCTCACCGACCGCACCAGCTACAGCGCCAGCCAACATCCCGTCAGGGCCTAAGTATGCTTCAAATACGCTATCCATCTGTCGTGAAACATTAGCATACAAAGCCAGGAAGCGATCGATGTTTGCGATGCACTGCAAACGGAAGTAATAAGCACGAGGATTTTTCCGAAACAGTTCGTCGGGATGCAGCCGCAGCCAATGATATTTAACTAACAGCACCAAGACGGTAACGCTGACGCAGGCAGTTAATGTTAATAGGATTAGTGCCAACCACAAGCTGCAGTTGCAGC